TATTTCACATCCAAGTAAATAACAAATATTTTAATAGAAAAGAGCAACATTTTTGTTTTTGTACTCGAATGTCAATAAAGTTCCCGCCTTGATGTTATCGCGCAAATGAAAATGTTGCTGTCTAACTCCGGTTTCCGCAGCCAATTTATTGCGTGATAGCATTATGAAGATAAAAACTTTTACCTGTGGAGACGCCCCATTATTCACACAAAGAAAAATAAGGAAACACGAGTTTGTGTGTCTTTTCGCCCGGCATTCATTTGGACTGCTCAAGAACATTATCAATTTCGCTGAAAACGTGTTAGTGTGGAAAATTGTGAAATCTTTTAGATTTTCCAATATGACGGTTTCGCGGGAAAAGGCATCAATTTCGGCGGTGCCCCCCAGCGATAGTGAACAAATCGAATGGTCGGCCGAGGAGGAAATACAATTGTTTTTCGCATTGGAGGGTTTGAAGCCTGTTGGCATTAACAAACATTTCTACATGGTTTGTATTGCTGATCGCCTATCAAAGAATTTGCAACGTGATGTTCCAGCAGAAGCAATATGGGCACATTTGCGCACTATGTACAATTTAGATGTTTTGGATGAGTTGGAGCCGCTACCGTTTCCTAACGAGGAAAAAGAATTCTCATTACCGGAAATAGAGTTTTCGGCTTTGCTGTCAAAAAAACGTGCAGAGTGTGAAGAGAAACAACGGCTAAGCAGCGTAGATTCCACTGGAGGTCCGCCTTCGATTATTGCCGTGGCTACTGATAACACCACAAAGAGCGGCAGTGGAGGTATTTTTTTTCAATTCCGTTTTTATATCTAAAGACTAATAAAAAATGTTTTCTTCGCTATATAGAAAAAACATCTTCACATAAAGCTAGTTCTAGCAGTCACCATTCCAAAGAGGTGGACAAAAAGATAACAGCAAAGCTGACTGATATTCCAAAACGTACGCCCAAGCGTACTCGTGGTTCGATGTCATTAGAATCTAATAGCAGTCCATCCACAACACCGCCGCCAATGCAAAGCAGTAAAAGGCGGCGTATTTAAATGCCAAATACAATAACATACATAAAAGTAATATTAAGAATC